TATCTTTAAATTCCAATAACACAGTTCCAAATCAAGCTTTAAATTCACTGCTGAAACCAAACGGTAGAGATGAGCTTTGCATGAGTGATAGCATTGTAAGGATCTACTTTCCATCTAGGCATTTGGTTTGTGTTTCTTACATTTCTCACTCTTAGATTTACATGTTTTCTTGTTAGTTTCAATTGATTGCATTTATTTTCATGAACTTACTTACTTTTGGATAGATTTCTTTGCATATGCTCTTTTTTTTTCCATACTTAGGTACTATTTGAGTTGCTAGTTCAATAAGCTGAATCTATTCTTATGTGATGTGATCTTGATAAATTTTATGGTAAACTTGTTGAAGAATCATGTCTTAGTTTTAGTTCATTCTCTCTAAAAATTTCTAAATCTAAATTTTTCCTTCTTGACTCGATAGTCTCTTCTTTCAACTTAGTTTCAGTTTCCAATTTCTTTTGTCAAATCTTGTAATTTTTGTTCAATTTTTGTTCTTCAATTCATGTTCTCTTATAGTTCCCTTAATGTTCTTCTAATTTCAAGTTCATGTTTGATTGATTTTGTATGATGTAAATTCAGAATGTTAGCTTAAGTTTTTGGATTATAGATTTAATGATATGTTTAGTTTTCAATACTTTAGCTATACTCTTATGATTTTCTCCATTTAATTATAATGCAAAGTTGTTCTTACCTTGGTTTACTCACTGTTTTTGTCTTTACAATTCAATTTATACAATTTAAAGCATAATAGATTTGTATTTCTTGCTTAAATTTTGATTTTTTCTAAAATTGGCCTTCCATCCTTTGTTTTTGTAAATTTACTTGAAATTTATGTTTTTAGCTCTTAATTCTTTCTTCAAATATGCTTTCACTTAGATTAGTCTACTGTATTTTTTCCATTTATATATATATATATATTGGTTTAGTTCTTTTGGTAGTTCTCTTAAATGGAAATTAAATGGTTAGTTAGAATTAGTTAATTGGGTTACAATACTTTAGTTACTATTTTTGTTTCAATATTTACTTGCTATTTTTAATTTTTAGATTAGAATCACATTTTAATTCATGTTTAGTGCATAACAAAGCTTAATTAAACCAACTTTACATAGTGTGTGGTGATAATAGGTACTTAGTTTAGGAACTTCTTCACCTAATCCTTATGGGATCGACATCTAGGCTTTTTAGCCTCTATTATTACTTGAACAACTTGTTTGCTTACAGGATACCCAAATCAATGGGAAACATCATTGAGAGTCCTTATACTCTAATTGTGGGTAAAGTGCACCTTCATGTGCTCTCATCTGTGTGGCAAAGAACGGATAATAGCTTAAACCTATTACTAATTTGTCAGGGTATGGCCAGCCTTCTTTAGCTCACTTATCATGTTTGATATCTCTCTCACATGCTATCTCATATTATGATTAGACCACTTTTTGTATGTGCCAAACTTGATAGTAAGCTACCTCAATTTGGTAACCAAAGTTGCGCCAAACTTTGCTTTAGGGCATTCCACATCTCTTTAGCTACCCATGAGATCGAAATTCGCACATAATATCATCATTTATATTGTTAAGCAACGTAATATGTGCAGTGGAGTTTTGTTTTTTTACAGAACTTATAAGCCTCTCCATCCGTCCTATGTAGGATGTATTCCCTTTTTCGAGTTCATCAAGGACATTGTTCAAAACATCAAGAACCTCTTGTTCTTCAAGTACATACTGAATTTTCATACTCTAAATCTCATAATTATCTCCATTCTGCTTTTCACCCTTGTTTAACTCAACAACAATGTTCTTAGAAATAGAAGCCATTTCAAAGTATAAATTTACATTCAAGAGACATATGCACTATTTAATGCTTAGGGGTGAGCAATTGGTCAATTCAATTTGAAAAAATCAATAACTGAATTAACAAACTTTTATTCAATAAGTAACCAAACTGACCCAAATTTTTAAATAACCAACCATAACCAAACTGACCAAAATTGGTTCGGTTAAATAACCGAACTTTTTGTTATTTTTTCTTCTTATTATGAACAATTATTTAGTTGCAAATTTAATCTAATAAAATTCAAACTTAAGTATCATTCAAACTAAATAGCTAAAGAATTTAATAATTTCAATAACATTTTACAAGAAAAAGACAAACAAAAATACTCATCTAAACTTTTAAACGTTTACTTATTAAAAAGCTGGTTAATTTATTAGGTTCGATTATCAGTTTAAGAATTGAAAGCTAACTGATTTAACGAATTTAATTGATCCAAAAAATTGACTATAATCAAAACCTAATAGACAAACCAAATTAACCATTTTTTATCAATTTCGGTTGGTTAAATTTTTGAATCAATTTTTGCTCTCGCCTATTAATGCGTAGCATTGCACACTTCTCATTTTGCCACATATCACAGATGAAATAATGACAATCATTCACATAAAAATGAAACAAAAAGGTCACTATGTTCACAATCAATTTTTTTTTAATGTATTTGATTATCACTAATTTATTTCATTATGCAAAATCAATTATTCTAAGATAGAATAAATTAATTATCTTAGAACTCCTACTAAACATAAAGTTATCAACATATAATCAATAATATATATTGATTTCACACAATAATTCCTACAAAACATAATTCGAATCCATAAATGTGTTCATAATAAAAAGTATATATACATATTAAATGTCAATTAAACATATTCTTAATCATTTTGAATGACTTGTCTAAAAACAAGAATTGATTTTAAAACTTTTCTGATAGTTCTGCATTCACATTGTTTATCCATGGAGGTCTAGGAATTTTGTGTTTCCCATTATGGAAACTTAGGCAAACTAAAAGGGTTGCACTCCTCTTTGCCCCTATTCTCATGTATTATTTCACAAAATTCTTAATTAATGTTCATACTTAAGATCACTCTCCAAATAATTCTAGATATCTTAAAGAAGATTACTTATCAGTATTTCATATTTGATCTAGTCATTCCTAATGTGTATAAAGCCATGCTAGATCAAATTTTAGATCATGCCATTACCTTGATAATATGCCTATCAATATCATCATTTGAATCCATTCGATATTGTGTCAATTTTACCATCAGCCTTATTACTTTAAAAAATTCGCATGTGTCCCCGTAATGATGGGAGTTCTTATGAAAACAGTCATGACTTTCTATAACAAAATATGAGAAAAAAATATAAAATCTTTTAGCATAAGTAAAAAAATTTATTCAGATCCATTTCAATCATTCTTGTGAGATCTAATCACATTCCAAAGTCAATCAAGGACAAATTGTTTTAAAAATTTTTTTATCTAAGGCATTCAAATACCTTATCTAAAAACCAAAAAAAAAAAAAATCTAAAAGTGGCAAAATATCAATGGCTTTTTTTTTTAATTTCAAGAATTGTCACAATAACATTAATTATACCAAGAACACAAAAATTATGTCAACTCCTATAGATGTTTGTAAGCATGTAAGAATGTATCATGTTTTCCATTATGAAGAATATAAAAATAAACTAGAACACAAGCCAACTTAGCTTTGATATTAATGAAAGATAAAATTCATGTAAGATATACACTTGAACATAATAACATATTCTTATTTATTAGCAGAAGTGAAAGCGAAACCTAGCTTGAATTACTGGTCACTGAACAAAATCAAAATACGAAAATTATTTATTTCCACTGTGTAAGTCATTCAATACACCAAAGTAAGAATTCTTCTTGAGAGTTATACAATGCCTAGTCAATTACTCTCTCTCCTTTTCTCTCTTTTTGTATTTGTGAGAGACCTTTTTCTCCTTTCTTTTTTTATTAATGGTTGAATGCCATAATAATCTTCTATTATGAAATGGGTGCCATTTTCTTTTCTTAAAAAGAGTTTGTATACTGTTTAAGGTAGTTTTTATATAAAGAAATAAATTGCATTATAACAATTACTTCATCAAGGGATTATAACCTATTATGGGCGGTTATGCCAATATCATCAAACTCAATTATTTTGGTTTTCAATTGGTTGTTAAATTGGGTCTTGAAACTTTTAATATGTGTGTTTTGAATTATTTCAGGTTTTTAATAGGTTGTTGTGTTTTAAAATTTGTGAAATATAAGTTATTTTATTTTGAGATAATAAGATATGGTTAATATGCACTTTTTTGTTGCAAAGTGAAAAGATTAAAAAAGTGTCAAAAATCAAGAAATAGATTAGAATTTAATATTTCATGACAAATCCATACAATACAATTTTGGATTCATCGAAATTTAAAGAAATGCAAGTTGCAAAGATTTAGAGATGGAAAAAGATTAAGAAACGTTCATGAAAGTTGGAAATAGTTAAAGAATAGATAAAAAAAAAATGAAAAACTTCGTTTGTTTGGTTTCAAAGAGAAAGAAAGAATTAATTATGAAGAATAAGGAAAAAATAATGGTTTTAGATAAAATAATAATAATAAAATAAATTATAAAGTAATTAAATGTCACTTTTAAAACATCACAAATTACTTTTAATTCACCTCAAATCATAAGATATTTTATATAATTTACTCAAATTAAAAATAAGTAGAATTTAGAGTTTTAGTTATTCATGTAATCATTGAAGCTGGGTTTAAATACCAGTTCTAATAAATTTTTTTAATTTTTACTTGTGATTTTTTTTGTAAAAAAAGAAAAAAAGCTGGCCTAAAAATAAAAATTAATAAAATTTTTTAAGATATAACTGATTTTAGCTTCTTCGTAAAAATAAAAAAAAAAAGGCCCCAAAAATAAATATTAATAAATTTTTTTAGGTTTAATTAAATTAAAATAGGAATTACACTTGCTTATCTTTCGCTTTCGTTAGACACTTCGGAAGAAGATATACGTTTTTTTATTCTCTAAAATCTTAAGTACGCCTGTGTTGAAGCTCAAGATAAACCCGTCCATCGCTGAAGAGTGTCGAAAAAGGTTGTACGTAATTGTTAGAATCAATTTTCTCAATTGTAAGTTTTTTTTATTGTCGAAATCCTTTCTCGTGCTCAGCATGGTAATTTGAACAGTGATTTTTTTTTTTAATTTTCAAAATAGAAGCAAATCATCTTGTTTTGTCTTGATTGGGTTATGCGAGTGGAGGAAATTAACTTTTTTTTTATTATTATTGGAATAAGCTCGTGTTGCGATTATTTCAAGTAAATTTTGGAATTTATTTTCTTATATATTCTCTATCAGATTTCTGAAGGAAACTTTGAAGGGTTGATTATACATTTGATATAAGAAAGTTAGCATCTGGTATATTAGATTGGAAAGTGACAATTTATTTGATAAGTTGTGGTTGTTAGCTGTTTTGCAATTTATTTTTGTTTGAATTAGTTAGTAGCGTAATTAATTGTAACTTGTGAGTAGTGATTCATTTGACTTTCTGTGAAAACGTGACAGGTTGGAATTAGATGGTTCAAAATAGCGTTGAGTATCAGTTTAGTTTCCACAGTGTTTGGGATTTAACAGAGGAAAGTCTGCCATATATCAGCTTTACATTTTTGAACCTCTTTTTTTTTCTTTCTTAGGCTTTGTTGTTGTTTTTTTTTTTTGTTTTGGAGGACGGGTGGGTTTGGTTTCAAATATTTACATGCCATTTAATAAGTTAATCATTTTTGTATATTGTTAATAGATATAAATCGAAACTGTCATTTTGAGAAAAAAATGAGAAAAAATAGTCTGTTTATATATTACTACTATTTTGGTAGATAACGATCATTTAGCAAAAAGGAAACAAAAAAAAAAAAAAAGCTCCGAATCCTTTGAAGATTGAACTCACACCAGAAAAGAGCTCTTCAAGTTTCATTTTAAAATTTTTATATCCTCTTATTCAAACCTGCTGCTGCTGTGCTGGGGTTCATCCTTCTAAAAAATTGCTTTTACTTTGTCTCTTTAAATGATTCAAGTGCGTGAATATTTGCTTGGAAAACAATAATTGAAGAAATGATAGCGGCAAGGCGACTTGACAAGATATCAAGGCTGATGGGAAGCAGAGCCACTCCTTATTCGCTTAAAGCTCTCAAGTAAGCATTTACATTAGTTTTCCCTTTCAATTCTGATGCTCTATAGAATTTTTAATGTTGTTCTCTTTTGATTGCAGTAAGGAATCATTGCTTTGGACTGAATTTTGGAACCCTAAAGTTAGGCTGCTTTGTAACAATGATGGTGTTGCTGCCTTTTCTTCAACTTCTCATTACAGCTCCAATTGCAATCATAGTCCCACAAATAAGGTCAATTAAAATTTTTATTTTTTAAGTGTAGTTTGGTGTTTTTTCTTTCTTTTGCATTCTCTTACTACTTATTCTGTAGTCTATACCCTATGCTACACTCCAGGTCTTAAGAAACCTTCCTGGATATGTAAAGATAGTGGAGGTTGGTCCAAGGGATGGATTGCAAAATGAAAAGGAAATTGTACCTACCACCATAAAGGTCCAGTTGATAAAAATGCTAGTTTCTTCAGGATTGACTGTTGTTGAGGCCACAAGTTTTGTCTCGCCAAAATGGGTTCCGCAGGTTAGTGTGCCTTTGTGGTTCATGTGAGGTAATCAACCTTTTCTCAAATAATGCTTCTAACTTGGATGTAGAGTTGCTTATAATTCTCTTGGTTCACGATTCTGATTTTTGGTCTGCATTGTTCTGTCAATCTCTAATGTTAGTAGTCATCTACGGCTCATGCTTTGTTAATCATAATTGTTTTGTTTTTTGCTATTTTTTTCTTCCTTTAACCCCTATGGTATCTTCCCCCTCCCACCCCCCCCCCAAAAAAAAATAAATAAATAAATAAATAAAACCTCTATGGTATGGTACACCTCACTTTTTGTCATTTTTAAGATGGTGTATTTTGTTCAATGGACTTAAGGATCAATTGGTGTCATGCTCATCTTTCAAAGGAACTGGATGCTGCAAAAAAGAAAAAGAAAAAACTACTATCCTGAGCTAATTCATGATTGAATTGCAGCTGGCAGATGCAAAGGATGTAATTGATGCAATCCAGAATATTCGAGGAGCCAGATTTCCAGTGTTAACTCCCAACCTTAAAGTAAGCTATCTCTAACAGATAAAAACATTTCTGTTAACAAATTGTGCAAATTTGTTGATAACATAAAATGCTTTCTTTAGGGTTTTGAAGCTGCTGTTGAAGCTGGAGCCAAAGAAGTGGCCATCTTTGCCTCAGCTTCTGAGTCCTTTTCTAAGTCAAACATAAATTGTAGCATTGAAGATAGTCTTGCTCGTTATAAAGATGTTGCTTCTGCTGCTAGAAAGCTCTCACTTCCAGTTCGAGGGTATATTTTCTAATTAACGTAGGATTGACAAAAATTCCCTTTTTCTTTCTCCCTTTTGGGGGGTTGGCTGATGGAGAGAAGTGAGGTAAAGACTATCTTCATTTTAAGAGTGAACTATAATAAATTCGGTTTTCAAGTCTGAAATATTCTAGAAATCCCCTAGTTTTGCTAAGCATCATTCTTATGTTCACTTCACGGCTAAAGAAACAAGTTAGATAGTCAACTTAAAAGCTGAAATATTAAATGTCAGATCTTTCTTCTTACCCAAAGATAAAAAAATCAGGTTAGTTATGGCCTCCACGATGCTATGTTAAGAGTTATGGGACATATTATTCCCTTTAGAAAGTACTTTTTTTTTGTCCCCTTTTTTTGTTTCTCCCATAAGTTGGAGAGGTGGTGAGGGGAGGTTAAAGGTAGGAAGAATTAGAGTGGAGAAAAAAGAAATCCCACATCTATTAAATTTTAATATGGACATCCAACCGAAATCCAATTGGCAATAGGTGGAGAGGTTCTTGTTATTTTTGTCTGCCCAAGTTACCCCCAATTTAACAAAAGTGGGATTTCTTTGATCTCCTCTCTAATACTCTCCCTTACGTGTAGGGACAATGGAGAATTGATTTGATGTGGTAGCATTGGTCTTGACATATGTATAGCATCAGAATTTGAACTCTTCTTTTCAATTTTTTCTTTCATAGGAGGAAAGGGTGTTCTTGTTTCCTGTGTTCTCCGTGGTATTGGCTTTTGAATTAGGCTTCTTTTCATGTAGCATCAATTTTAGTTAAAGATTGAATATTTTTCAATAAGCTATGTGTTTGGACTTTGCAATGAATTGAGAGTCAGTTCAGAATTGACAGCAATCTAAATGACACCTTAGTTACCCAAAAGGAAGAAAATGTCAGGTAAATGCAGCATTTTGATAGGGATAGTACCGTGATTGCTGTTGAATAGTTCTTTTAATTTGGATGTTGATTAACACTTTTGAGTATCACATGTGAGTTGCAAATTGAATATTGGTGAAAGAGACTAAATTTTGGCCTTATTAATTCTGCAACTCAGCATTATTGAGTTACCCAAAGTCTTAAATGTTAAATTGTAATAAAATTGCAAAGAAATGCTTCCTTCAAATCTACTTCAGAGGAAGAGGAGCAGTCTTCCAAGCACACTTCACAAGTGTAAAATGTATACAAACATTTTGTTTTTTGTGCCCTAGTATCATTTCTCCCTTTTGAATTTGCTTTGAGAATTTTTTAATCATTTCTCTTTATGGATTATATCCTGAAGAAGTTATTAATTATGTCTACTGTAGTTCTGGAAACTGACTATGGCATCATCCTATGGTAGCACTTTCCAGTCCTTGAAAGTATCCTCCTTAATCATGACAATATTTAAAGTTTCTTTCTGTTACATTTTGATCATAGCTATCTAGGTATTTGACAGCTTATATATCAAAATAGGCCTTGTTAATATGAACAAACATGATGATGAAGTAAAAATGTAGAAGGATTAATTTTGTGCATATCTGTCCTGTTGGTTTTCCATTGATTTAACTGAGTGACAATAAGATGAACGTATCCAGTTAACTAGCTATTCTAATTCATCCTGAAATGAATCTGTTTTTGAAATGAGTGAGGAATTTAGGCAACCAGTAACTGAAAAATCCAACTTTTGAGGACACCAAGCTCAGCTGTAGTGCTAAGAAAGAGTTATAAAGTTTATAAGTTGGAGTCAACAACGTATAGATGTCAACTTGCAAAATTTCAAATGTCATACCTAAGAACATTTATATCTCCTTCTGAGTAAGGTTTGACTGAAAAATTAGTAGGTGGTACGGAAGCCTTATTAAGTGATAACATTGAAATTTAGGGAAACCCTGGAATGAAAAAGAGCAATCCCAAACCAGATCCTTTTTTTTTTTTTGGTGAAAGTAAACAATGGTTCCTCCTTTTGATTTGTTTCCTTAGGTTATATAATGAGTTTTTTTTTTTTTTTTTTTGTTATTTTTAAAATTTCTCTAATTTGCAGATATCTGGTGTCTTGTTTGTCAGGTGAATGGATTTTAAAGAATTTACTTTAATCAGAATTTTCTTACAAAAAACTAGTAATGGGTTTGAAACTTTTTCGATTAGCAAAAAGGATTCTTTTTTTTTTCTGTTAGCAATAACCAGTATGATGTATTTTAGAAATATGATCGTCCTAGAACTTTCTGATCTTCTCAGATATATATCATGTGTCGTTGGTTGTCCAGTGGAAGGAATGGTGCCTCCATCAAAAGTAGCATACGTGGCTAAACAGCTCTTTGATATGGGTTGCTCTGAAATATCCCTTGGTGATACAATTGGTGTTGGTACACCTGGTAATATTTAAAGTTACCTTCTGTTAGTAATTCCTTACTGTTATGACATACACCATTGAACCGCCCGCTATAATCATCTTACTGCGTATGCTTGTTTGTTTGGTGTTTTTTCTTTTGTGTTTTTCCGGGTGGGCAGTGGTGCTGATGCTGGAGTTTAGGATGCAAAGGTAATTTATATCCATGTACACAGATCCATGCTTTTCTCTGCACACATGCATGCATACATTTAGAGGTGGCAAATGGGTAGGGTAGGTTACTTCGGGTTGGGTCATTTTGGGTCTAAAAGAATTCAGCTAATTTTTTGAATGTGACTCGTTTTGGGTTCAGATCATTTCTGATTTAGTGTTTAGTGTTCTGGTTTGGGCGGGCTCTTTTTAAAACGGCAACACAAGTTATAAGCCCATAATACATAAGTTATTTTTCCCTTTTCTTCCAAAAAATCTAGCCTACTTGTCCTTGCCCAGCCACCTTTTACCATTTCCTTCTTTGATGACTCACGTTAACAACTGTGCTGGTAAAACCATGATGCCATGACGACACTCAGGCCAACTTCTCTCCATTTCTTTTCTTCTGCTCCTCTGTCGTCTAGAATCATCTCTTGCCCTCCTGTTCAAGGTGGAGGTATTGCTACCATGCTTCATCGGTTGTAGACCTGCAACATTCTTTTTGTTTTCTTCAGTTTTGCTTTCGAATTTCTGGTGTTGATCTGCATCTCCAGCTATGTCCAAATAAAATAATATATATTTTTTGCCACGTGTAATGTGTCGCACAAGTATCCAGCATGTCTGAGGTGTGTTTTTCTTCACGAACACGATACTGATATGCAGGGGTTGAGGCGTGTTTGTGCTTCATAGGTTGGTAGCTTATATGGTAGAGCGGGCATGTTGATGTTTCTAATTCCAATTTTGGTTAAGATTCTTGCAAGGGAGATTTTTAAGAACGCATGAAATGCTTGAATCCTGCATCCAAAGAAATGTGGTAATCTGAATTATAATGTTCTGTCATGAAGTTGACTGCTTAAACTTCTTGCGTTAAGGTAATGCCTAAATGCTTGGATTTTTATCCTTGTGAACGAGGACTACCCTGATGCATGACAGAACTGATTGCAATTTTTATGAGAGCAAAAAAGATTTGGATCGAAATTTATTACTACATCTGATTGTTGTTATTGACTTTGGAATAGATATGCACCTCTAAATGAAAGAAAATAATGCAATTTTAAAATAATATTTTCATTTTTTCCCATTTATTAGTGGAGATGATTAGTTGAAGGAGACACATATAGATGAATATATCCATTCTGGTAGCAAGACAAGTGTGGATTGGTAATATAGAGATGTTTTGGTTTCCTTTTTATCGGAGATAATGTGCGGGACTACTGTTCTTATTTAGAAGACTTTTTGAAACTTGAATCAGTATTGGCTCTTTTAACTTGATTGACAGCAGATTTTCGAGCTAGCTTTACAAGCTGCTCTATGAACTCTTAATTGTTCTTTAAACAATGAGTATCCCCTCTAAAATCCTTTGATGTATGTGGACATTTCCATAATGACACTGTTTTTCATTTTGCATTGATTGATCTGTGGAAACGATTTATTTCTCATAATGCCCATGGTGATCCATCTTTTACTTGATTTTGACTAAGCTTGTATATTGTAGATCTGTATTTGACATCATTCTCTGGTAGACTTTGACCTTTATGTGAGTTTATGTGCAATAATTTCAGTCTTTACTTAGATTTGGCTTCTCGTCTTTGTTTCCTTTTGGTGCAGGCACTATCATTCCAATGATTGAAAATGTTATTCGTGTTGTCCCAATTGATAAGCTTGCTGTCCATTTTCATGACACTTATGGGCAAGCTCTTTCTAATATTCTAACATCGCTCCAAGTAAGCAATACTCATTTTCCTGCTCCTCACATTAAACTGCTGACATGAAGGATTTGTTTGTTTTAAGTAGAGTGAACTTACATTAACTTCTGCTCATGTTGCATTTCTGCCAACACAATGGTCTAACTCATATCCCTTGTGTTACCAATGGAGATGCTTCTCTATTTAGCAAGCTGTTTTCACTGATGCTTCAAATAGATTGTTCATAAGTAAATAGAAAAGTATGAGTAGAACCTGTGATATTATTGATTGTTTCATGGCAACGCACTTTTGTTTCTGGTTTAAAATATGAGCAAAAGTGAGTGCATCCCAATACTGTCTCTTTTTCTTTTTTTGGCTGCTGTGCATCGACGTCTTTTTCTCTTTTTCTTTTTCACTGAAGAGCACACTTCTATATTAGATCTATAAAGATCATATTGTTCATTTCATGACTGTTGATAATGTAAATTTGAAAACTGTGGCCCTCAACATTTTGCAATACTTTAGCAAGGATCCAGGTTTTATCAATGGCATGGACTCTGTTGATTAGTTTCTTCATACATGGTTCTAGAAGCAATAAAATCAATGTAAAAGGTGTGTTTGAAGAAATAGGCTTTAGGATTTGGCTGTTGATGGAAATGCAGGCTGTACTAAAGGCAGATCAAATATTACCCTCACCAGATCCGGGTTTACCTAGTTAACTTCTTTTTTCTTTGTAAAATTAATGGAAAAGGTGGTCTGCTCTGTAGGTTTAATGATTTTACAGTTGCAAAAATCTTGACAGCAAGGTTAAAGACAGATGAAATGAAACCAACATGTAGATCTCGGTTACTTCATTTCTTTTCCTGTTTCTTTCCTCCCAGGATTCTAATTTGCTCTCTATTTGGACATGTTTTGACCAATATTCTACGATCTAATTTTATACAGTGGCCAAAATTTATTGAGTCACTTGTTTGTCCTAGTTATTCCAGCTCATCATTTTTGAATGATAAAACATTTTCCAGCACCCTATCTTGTAACCAAAAATTTAAAATTTGCAGATGCTCTAGAAATGTTTTCAAGCACTTTAAATTTCTGTTAGTAATTTTTATTCCCTTAACAGATGGGGATCAGCACTGTGGATTCATCAGTTTCTGGCCTTGGAGGTTGTCCATATGCTAAGGGTGCTTCAGGAAATGTTGCCACTGAGGATGTTGTTTACATGCTCAATGGACTTGGAATAGAAACAAATGTGGATCTTGAAAAGCTCATGTTGGCTGGAGATTTTATATGCAAGCATTTGGGTCGGCAATCTAGTTCGAAGACAGCAGTTGCATTGACTAGTAAGAAAGCAAACTCCAAGCTTTAAGGTACAAGAGCTAGAAAACCTTATAACTGTCATGCTCTAAAAAATTATATTTATTATTTTCTTTTGCTCTTCAATTTTCATATTCAGTTGCATCAGTATTTAAAATATCATGCAAAGCACACACATCTAGTCACAATGTGAACCCAGTAGGCAAAAATAAAACTTTGATGGAATAAAATTTCTTGCAATTCAAGAATACAAATTTGTTTGATCCCTTTGTATGTTATTCTTTTTTTCAATGCCAAATGTTTATCCTTATCAATTTAATAGCAAGATCCAAATTGGAGCTTGCATGTGTTCTCTCAAACATAAATTTTTTGCAGCAGTATTGGAAAGCTAAATTATATTCCTGCATCTTGGTTAGAAAATAGTGCCCCTTGGTAATTTTTATTTTCATTGTTCAAATGATAATCAAATTGGAGCCATATGTTTGACCCCTGGCACATGTTAAACATCCATAAGCAACTAGAATGGTGTCACGTTCACACATGCTATGAGATGCAGCAAAGAGGGAATGAACATCATTTTGTATGCAGGTTTTTTGTTCTTTTTAACTTTAAGGAAGAAAACACAGCCTGTAGTCAACTCTTGCTTTCTGTGAGGTGATGTTTGAGTTGAGAACAATTTAGCATGAGTTATTGTTGCTGCAAAGGTTGAAGAAATAGACATCTCTTGGTTTGACTATTAGAAGTATGATAGTTTTAAGTCCAGAGGTGCCAATTGGGTGGGGCAAGTTTGGTTTGGGTCAGGTCATTTTGGGTCGAAGGAAATTGAGGTTGTTTGAGGTTCGGTTCATTTCATGTTCTGATTGTTCACGTTTGACACTTGGATTAGTCGAATTGGGATCATTGAGTTTGACTCATTTCTTATCCAAATTATTGATTTTTAAAGTCAAATCAATTTATGTTGGGATCGTTTCATGTTAGACATTCAAGTCTTTTATTTTGGTGTTGGACGGGCTTGGGTTTCGAGGAGTTTGGGGGATTTTTCAAGTTTGGGCTAGCTTTATTAGCCCTTTGCTTCTCTAATAATAACTTTGTATCTTAGTTATGCTTGGAAGGAAAGAAAATGGAGGAAAGGTGTTGAGGAAGTGACTTTAAAGCTTGGACACAATTCGGTGAGAGAGCTCTACAAGTTGCAACACTAAATGGGGGTGTCAAAATTTGTTTTAGTGTTCTAACAGCCTGTAGCTTTATTATAGTAAACTTTTAATTTCGGTGCTTAAAATTTAAAAATTTAAATCTTGACAGCTTTAAATGTAAAAAAAAATGTATATTCAAAGTTTTCTTTTTCAAATGGTCAAGTCAAAGCTAAGGAAGAGTTGAGAAAGTCTAACCTTAAATAGTGTATTTGCCCTTTTTTTTTTTTTTTACGCCAATAGGTTATATGCGTTGTCAGAGTATTGGGGATCTACTATGGCCGGTTCGAATGGAGCCATGTGTCTTAATTGTAGTAAAGGACAGTTTAGCTGGCAAGCTGTCCAAAATATTCTTTGGGAGATCCTTAATCTTGAGCCCGAAGGGGCTATAGAGGTGTCCTTGATGTGAGGACACACCCAAGTGTCCTCTCTAGCACTTTATTCCCCGCGTTAAGACCAAGTGTCCGAGGAGCGTGATCATAACACATTTTATCCCACTATCTTCTCTGCATTGACACTAATCTGTGGCAATAGCAAGCATTGAACAGTTCAGCATTGCTGTGCTCAAAATGAAGTAAATTTTACTTTGAATTTTTCTTTCTTCACTAATTCCTCTCTCTACTTTGAAAATTACCAAAAGAACTCATTATTAGAGAAAATGTTTTGAAGGGTGTTTTTATCTTTAGGATTAAAAGAATATTTTCGTTTTTCTCATAATTATAGAAAACAGAATTAATAAAAAACAATTATTACAAATATTATAAAAAATAAAAATAGAAAATTTGAAAATCAAGAAGCAAGTATTATGATCAATAATTATTAATATTATAAAAATAAAAAAAAGCAAAAAATACAAAATCAAGTAATAAACAGTACATCCTAAAAAAATGAGCGATAGTAAAAGTAAAAAAATTTTTTTTCTTTTATTTTGTTCTATAATTAAATAGTTTATGAGTTTGAAAAATAAAAATTAATGGTACTTCATATATATAATAAATAATTATTTTATTGCTATAGAAAAATAATCATTAAACATATGTAAAAAACAATGGAAAATATAATGGAGAATAGTGACAAAATTATTTACTCTTTGAGAATAAAAAAATAACCGTTGAGTCTAGTCCAATAATCTTATAGTAACGCATTAATATTCATGCAATTTTTATTTACTAATTAATTTTTTTAAAATACATTTATCAACATTAAACAAAAAATTACATTTTTTAATAATTGTAAATTGTAAGTGGGTATATTTCTAATTTAGAATTAAAAAAAGTGTTACCATAGGAATGTATGAAGCTAAAACTCGCATTGTGGCCATTTCGGATTCAATTAGGCTTTCGCAATTTTATTTTGGGCCAAAACCCATTTTTTATATCTATTTTTTATATATTTTTTATTTTTTGTATTTAATGGTCAACAATCGATCATTGATGGGCCTTAAAGATGACTCTTTTACTAAGCTTTTATTGGGCTATTGCGGGTATTATTCAAGCCAATGCAACAGGTCTCATTTTGGGGCTTACATTGGGCCTTATCTTTGAACATTTTTTAATAGACTGTTAATGAACCCGAAAAATTGATAATTAAAACTCAATTACAGAAACAAGTCTCGATTTAAAAAACAAAATATATTAGATAAAATTAGGTGTCTATTGCTGTCCTTATTTGCATGTTTATGAAGATTAGGAATAATGTAAAGACATAAACAATAATTTTATTTGAATACTACTTCCTAAGAAGAATTTTTTTATTCTATCTTTTTTTATTTTTTTTTTTGTTTTTGTTTTTTTTTTTTTTTCGTCTTGTTATATCTTTTTTTTTTCTTTTTTCTTTTATGACAACCAAGATTAAATTGTTAATCAAAAGATAAGGATGATCAGGATTAAACTACAAATCGAATGAAATGATGGAAACAAAATCATAAGTCAAATAAAGTGATCATTAATTTGAGTTTACGTGCCAGCTAATCTGGGCTTTCGTGCTAGTTAATTCTGGGTTTAGATGCCAATTAATCTAGACTTAAATTTTTATAGGTATCAGCTAAACTAGACTTAAATTTTCACTAAGTGTCAACTAATCTGGGCTTAAATTTTTATTAAATGCTAGCTAAACTGAGCTTAACTTTTTACTGGGTGTTAGCTAATCTAAGCTTAAATTTTAATTGAATACCAGGTAAGTTAGGTTTAAATTTCATTGGATACCAGCTAAGTTGGGCTTAAGTTTTCACTGGATGCCAGATAATGTGGGCTTAAACTTTCATTGAGTGCCAGCCAAACTTGGCCTAAAATTTTCATTGGTGCCAAATAATCTAGGTTTAAACTTTCATTGAATGCCAATTAAACTGAGCTTAAATTTCATTGTGTGCTAGCTAAGCTAGGCTTAAATCTTTTCATAAATGCCAACTTCACTGAGCTTAAAACTTGGGTGGACTTAGATTTTTTGGAGAATTGGCAATTCCTATTAGAAATGAAAAAAGAAAATTTTCTTTCCTAATGGATTCGATGGTTTAACCCACCAAAGTTTTTATTGAATCAAAAAAAATTCACCATATAAAGGGGACAAAAAGTGTATGCACTTTTCAACTAATTCGAGCTTATGTGCTAGCTAATCTGGGCTTAGTGTAAAGAGTACTCCTCAGTTAGGGTTTATTTTTGAAAGAAAATTATTAGGCTCAAAAGGATAATTAGGGATAAAATTATATTTGTAAAAGGATGATGAAAGTGACAATTTGTCATTTCAAGCATAAATACTTAAATTGAAAAGTAGTTCCCTTTAGAAAAAATGAACTTGAATAAAGAATTTTTTGTACCAAAAAATTTTTCTTTTTTTTTTTTTTGATTTTTGGCTTTCTTGACTTTTCTTTTGGTTTTTTCATTTTAGGTTTTTTTTTTCTCTGTTTTTTCTCTAAAATTTTGGATTTATCAAGACTTTATTTGGATTTATTCAAATTTCTTAAATGCATGTTATCATAATCAATTTTTTTTCCTTTTTTGTCTTTTTTTTTTATTTTTTCCCCTTTTTTGTTTTTGTTTTTAACTTGTTATCATAACTCATACCTAAATTCACTTTGCTAGTAATGCGTTTCATGGAAGATGCTCCATTTTAACAAACCATTTTTAATGAAAGTTATTGTGAGAACAAGATCATTTAGAATAAACAAGAAAAAGGTCATATGAAATAAACTCGTTAAAGATTTCAAATGGTCCATGTCACTACCAAAAAGAGAACGAATGGGTTGATCATAGATCAAATAGTCTTAATGGCAATGAAGTCTTTCTTTTCTTATCTACGTGCCCCTATGACATTAGACTAGGCTAATTTTAGGATAAAAAGCTGAAAAGTAAGTATGTTTGAGATTATTTTACAAGACTTAGGTTGCTTTTGACATTGAAAATTTTTTGAATTACAATGTAACATTGATACATCAAATTACCATATCTTAATTCTTAAAAATGTCATGTATGCATGATCTTTTAGGAATTCTATTTTTTCTTTTTCAATTAGTCATTTTATTGTTGATATTCTTGAAAAATAATATCATCCTTTAATATCATAACATTATCAGGTGAGGGTAAGATTCATGAACTCAAATTCATGGCTTTTGAAGGGTCATGACTATTGAATGAAATCAACTGAAAGGCTTAAGAAAAACTATTTAGGTATTTGACAAATTTCTAATAGCGATTGCATCTAAGACTTTTTCTTTATTCACAAAATATTTTCTCTTTTCTCTTTTTTCTCTTTTTTTTTTTAAAGGCATTTCTCTTTCTAAAACCTTGGGACTTAACTACATAGACGCTTTATTCAAATTTAACATTTTTTTCCCTTTTTGTCATTTTTTTTCAAAGAAAATCTACTATTCTAAAACTTAAAAATATCAAAACCTCAAATGACAAAATAAATCCATGAAACACTATAATGCACAACATTCATTCATTTAATGCAAACACTAAAGTAAAAGTTCAAAACTCATATTCTAATAGTGTTTTTATGATGACATTCAAAGTTATAAAAACAAAAGTTCCCCCCTTGCTGCTTCAGTTTTAACATCATTGACTCGTAACTTCTCCATTATCAATCATCAAAACCACTAACCAATTCTTTAAACTTTGTGAGATTTGCATCAATCAAAGTCTGAACTGTATCCTTGAAGGCAGTATAATCTTCTATAGAATGTCTTTTGACCCCATCATGAAATTCACACTTAGCATTGGAATTATACCACTTTAGGTATAGAGGCTTTCTGGGTTTTATAGGAACAACAGAGATCATATGATTTTTGACAAGTAAGGTGAAAAGCTTAGCATAAGGCATTTGGAGTGAATAATAAACCTTGACTCTATTTCTCTTACAACTTTATGAATGGCTTGGATTAATCCTTTGTTTTGTGAATGTTTGTGGCGAAGAAACTTGAGCATATAGATGAAATGGTTAAGAAAAATTACATACCCGAGGTGTCGATTGGGAATAATACGGTGACCGTTGGGAATATTCATTCACCAAATCTTCCTGTATTATGGTGAGGTTTCTCTTATTTTTCCTTTCAATAATTATCTCATAAGCGTATCTGTCAAAAATATTCTCTTGCCTTTCATTAGGAATTTTCACATTAGCATTCATAATTTTTTAATTTTTTAATTTTTTATCCCATTCTTAATTCCACCCATAACAAATAACAAATCGACAAATTCTTATGATGTATTACCAATTAATTTATCATAATAAGGAGAAGGAAATGTATCCATAAATAGAGAATTCAGCTCCTTACTAGTTAAAGGTGGTTGAACTTGTAATGCAACCTCTTTCCATCCAACATAATATTCCTTGTAGCTCTCATTGAGACTCTTTCTCATGTTTTGAAGGATTAATTAGTTTGGAGCTATCTCCAATTTGTGTTGGTACTATTTTAAAAATTTCCAAGATAAATTCCTCTAAGTACAAATTTGATTTCTTTCTAAACTATAATACCAATTGGTCATTGCCCTAGTCAAACTTTTTTGAAAGGCATAAATAAGTAACTTTTCATCACCGGTATACCTAAACATTTTATGACAACATGGAGCTAAATGTGTCTCAAGATATTTAGTTCCATTATACTTTTCAAACAAGAGAACCTTAAATTTGGGCAAAATAACCATATCTGAAACTAATTGGGATTCATTTGCATCACAAGATTTATTCTTACCTTCAACAACTTAAATTTTTTCTTCTAAGAGACTACACCTACTCTGTTTATTTAGATTTCATGATTCCTCCCTTATAGGTCATAAACTAGGTCCTTCGGGTTGATCATTTCTTGAGCAAAAAGTCCCTTCATAATCTCCTCAATCTTTTCTCCTAAATTAGTATTCTCCTAATTCTTAGAAGAAATCACAAGGATTATTTTCGAAGAAAATCTTTTTTTTTAGAGCACACATAAATTGCATGCTATTAAATGGATATATAAATAGATGAATGAATGAATGAATGAATGAATGCACAAATGACAAAGCTTTTTGGTGAAAAGTGTGAAAATTGAAAAAGAGGCAAGAATTAAAGACAAGCCATAATTCACATATCTAAGTTTAAAATGACAACACCATATTAACATATAAAAACATTTTACAAACAAAAGGAAATCACAAAGCATTTCATTTTCCCAACACTTGAAAATCGTTTTTA